ATTCTACAAAAAAATATTTACATATAGTTATTGACCATGCAACAAGATATGTCTGGGCTTTTCCCTCTAAAAGTGTAACTTCAGAAACCTATGCCAATTGTCTAAAACAAATATTTCAAATACAAGTCCCCGAAAAAATTCTGAGTGACAGGAATGCAGCCTTCACTTCCTCTAGATTCAAAAATTTCTTAAAAAGCATAATGTTAAACAACTTTTAACTTCATCTCACCATCCCCAGACAAATGGTAAAGTAGAAAGAGTAAATCAATCAATAGTAAGTCGACTGAAATGTAAAGTAAATTCTTCTTCTAAAAAAGTACCATGGACTAAAGTGCTAGAGCAAGTTGTTATCGAATATAACAACTCCCCTCATACGGTAACTAAGTTCACCCCAGCATACTTACTATTTGGTAACCTCCCTTTTGAATCTCCAATTGATCAAAATAAATACCCTTCCTTAAATGAAGCAAGGGCTTTAGCAAAGAAAAGAACTATCGAATACCACCGAAAGAATAAAACTAGATATGACATCAGATTTGTAGAATCTAAATTTCAAGCTGGAGATTTTGTCCTTTACGAGGAATTCGAATACCCAAATACTAGAAAATTGACTTCACCCTATTCAGGCCCTTATCGGATTATGAATAAATTATCTAAAGTTAATTATGAAATCAACAGGGAAAATTTTCACACGAAGAAACCAACTGAGATTGTACATGCGTCAAAATTAAGGTTCTATTATCCACCCGAGAACTTTAAATTACATCATGAATAAATCAAAATTTATAAATCAATAAACTATCCATAACCCTTCTTTTAGTTTTCATCCTGTTGTCCCCCTTAATAGTTGATTTATCTCTCAGTGTCTGAAAAGTTTGTCTGCCCTTTTCTTTTACTGGGCTCCTTCAAACTTGAGTTTCAGGTTCAATGCACTTTCCGTGTGGGAAACACTCAATTGAGGCTATACTACAAGTAGAGTACTATACCCTCACATTTCCTTGAGCTCGTGTTTTTCTATGTTTGTGTTATAAATTGTAGCAACAGTTGAAAAAGTTAAATTTCAGTTGTTGAAACTTCTGAATTTCATTTTTTGTTTCTGCAGCATCGTGTACAAAAAACTGGTATGGATGTTGGAAGTTAAATTTTGTTTTGTTATCATTAATAAGAGAAAAATAGAGTGACAAACTATGTTAAAAACCTAGCAAAATGTGTGTTTTCAACAAGAGTATAAAAGCTCTAGTATCGTGACATAAAAACTCAAATGTTTTCAGTGCCAGTGCGCTAATTAAATGATCCGGAGATCTCCAAAGACCAGTAAAAGACTGAAGATGAGCCTGAATGACAACTCTAATGATTGTACGGACTCATACACAAACTGTGAATGGCATGCCCTAAGATATAAACTTACAAATTCAGTTATATTACTATTTCCTATTGCCGCGTAGCTAACCAGCAATATGTTATTAGTGCTTTATTTGTTCTGCACTTAGTTACTATATTATAATTTCATTAATCATTTATTATATTTATATACTGTATTAAATCATTTATTATATTTTATATACTGTATTAATTATATTCAAATATTTTATGTCATATTTTATATAACATTTTGTGTGCCTTGAGGTAAATCCAATCAGTTTTCCTACTCACTTAATTTCCTAATAACTAAATTTTCTGCTCTCACTATCTGGACTGTCTTGGGTCGACGGCCGCGACTGCAAGCCTTTTCAGATGGGGGGAATAATTTGTAATGATATTTTTAAATCAACTGATTAAATTAAATTCTAATAATATTGCTTAATAATGTGTTGGCGATTTGCTTAATATTTAATGCATATAATAATAGAAATAAATTATAAAACACGAATATAGATCAAATTGGAACAAGAAGCTAAGAAAGTTGCAGACAGGGTTGAATACGCATATGGGATTCGAACTCACGACCCCAAAAAGTTAAACTTTGTTACCGTCAGCTTTACCACTAAGCTATCATGACACGGAAATGATATGCATATTTTGGCTTATATACATTTTCAAGTAAATTCTTAAAACTAAATTTTTTGGCCCTATTTCAGTGTGCTATCATCTAAAAAATTCACCAGAGTTTGTTCTTCAGCTTCTAGTACATTTCATATAGAAAACATTATCTTTTAAAGTGGCATTTCAATTGAAGTTAAATGGGCTGCTAAAAAATATATTCCATGCACTTACAAATTATATGTTAGCCAAAAAGGTATATTTATAAATAGAGAAATACAAATTTAACATACTCTTTAATGCAGTAGAATATTTAAAAAGCTATCAAATTTAATTTATAATTAATGTTTTTTAGTTTTTTCTTGTCCTGTTCAAAGAAAAAAATAAAAAAAATTTTAATGCTATAACTGATTTGCTATAGCAGTTTGATATAGTCAGACATTCATTTTCATTAAAGGTAAATGTGTAAGCAGAACTACAAAATAATTGTTAGGACAAATTTTGCTATTTCATGGACTTGGAATTATAATTTGTGCACCTGATTTTCTAAAAACTGAATTTCTTGAAACCCTGATTTTATCTGTGAACAAGTACTGTAATTGTAGTTATCTTATTTTTCTTATCTTTTTTAACTAAATTCAGCTGATTTCTGTGTTTTAGAGCATGAAAATTTCTCGCTATAATGTTAATTCAGAAATAAGTATTTTTTATCAAAACATTCTTTCCCTAAGCGAGCGTTCATCACAATTTCTGATGCCATTAATTTTTGGTGAAAACACCTGATTGTTCCTTTTTTACCACGTCACCCCAACGCATCCGCAGACATGCGAATAGAAGTTGAACTTTGTTAAACTCCATCCGTACGTCATCCGTCACCACATATCGACCGGATTGCAGATGACAATCAAAGTGAATTCGCTCGCTAATTGGAGAAATGCATACGCGTACACAGAAGTGGAAATGGGCTTTTAATATATATATATGTGTGTGCTATCAAAAAGAGAAAAAGATGAAGCAATGTTGATAGTGTAGCACATAGATAGCTTACAGTTGTAGATCCATACTGGAGAGGAAATTCTGGTTACATAGAATGCTAAAATGTTAAATCCCCAATGATTGCCAGTTGAGTAAGATTAAATATTTGTATTTCAGTTGGCATTTGTGGCCACAATTTACTTGGCACTCTAATCATGCCTATTCAAGAACATTAACAATTTTGATACTGTTGTGATAGGATGACAGCACAGCAGAAGAGGCTGAAGTGTGCAATTATCCAATATGGAAGCTCACAAACAGAAGGTTTTGGCTTAGGTTAGAAAGCTTTCAGTTCTCAAATTTTGAGTTCAAGTTCTGAATTTGCTACGTCATCAGCGTTACGCAAGCCATATGGCACAGAATAATTTAGAAATGGTACAGGCTAGGAAAGTTATAATTACTTTTAGAATACAGAAAGGAAATTCCCAAATTAAAAATGAGGAATTAAAAGGCTATTACTAAATTAAATTCTAAGGCTGATTTACATATATATATATATATATACGTAATGATATTTTTAAATCAATTGATTAAATTAAATTCTAATAATATTGCTTAATAATGTGTTGGCGATTCTCTACCTAAATTGCATCCCTGTTCCTAAATTTTTGGCGAAATCCTTTCTTTAGTATAAAATATATTAACCTGTTGGCGCCCGCCAAATCGCCAAACTCATAAATCTGTCATATTACATAAAGTCTTTAAGAACACTCCTGATGATAAGATAGCGTCACCTCGTGATTTCAATTAATATCGCTGATTGGATGACCCTCGTGACGCACACTTAGGTATAAATAGGGCTTCTGCTCAAGGTACAAAAAGAACGCTTGTGAGATGGATGCTAAAATAAACCTAGCACTTTATGTTCCAAAATTTGTCTCATTCTTGTTGCCCCGGCTGCACAAAACAAATAATGTATGAGAAATTACATTTCATATATATATATATATTTTACCTTACATATATCTTACAATTTCACACAAAGTTTTTTTATATGTGTACATAAAGAGTGTAGAGAAAGGAAAGTAATTTCCAGAAACGTGCTTAATCTAGCAAGCAAAAAGCTCAACAAGCTCATGAAAATCAGAAGCCCTTCTCTTTTAAAAATGTTCACATTCCTTTCTTGTTATTGTGGCATTAGCCACCATCGCAGCATGTTTAGTATACTACACTTCAACAGTTCATGCTGCCCCCTTCCCCCAACAAAAGAAAAGGGGGCTCCCAATTTACATTTGTGTACTTTTTGGCTACAGTTATTATACTAGAAATGTTCAAAATTTAAAAGGGAATTCTAATCACCCTGTGTATAATGGCAGCTGATCACACATATTGATACTGTATTTTCTCATGTACAAAGTTTGTAGTGCGTGTTTTGAAAGCTTATGATTTGGTGACATAATGCTTAACTTCTAAGGATTTCTTAGGAACTTCTTTATTCTTCTTAGGAACTGGATACATATGCATTAAAATAAAACCACTATGAAGAATTAAAAATAATTACGAGGCTGTTCCGGCATCCCTGAACAAAATCCAGACACGTTTAAGAGAGTAACGATATGATGAATGTGCTGATCAATGCAGAATTAGAACATGTTATCTGTGAAGAAAATATAAGACACTGCATGTGATGTTAGATAATGCAATATCCTGCTGGTAAAAGCTTCATGAAAGCCCTTAAAGATGCGAGACAAAAAAAAAAGCTAAAACAGGTCTAACACATAAAACTGATTGGTTAAAATACTAGCTATGTGTGAAACCTGTATCAAAGACCCGCTCATATCAGAAATTCAGGTGCTAAACTGGAATGATGATGCATAGACTTCAACAAATCTCTATAATGTTACTGAACAAGGAAATGACCATCACAGATGTATAAGTAGTTTAAAGGTTAAGATTATAAATGTTATTAAATTATGCAGATAAAATAAAAATTTTACAAGCATATAAAAGAATTCCTAAAAAGAGTTTACAGGAATTGTAATAACCTGACTCAGAATCAGAATTTGAAGGAGATGCACTTGGCGATGCAGAGCGAGACATCGATGGAGAGGATGACATGACACTACTGCGACCACAAGAACATGTGACGTCATCTGCAATGGAACTTGATGCATCACTCACTGTACTGAAACATGCATTTTTGCTATCTTTGATTTCACTTTTATCTTTTTCATCAGGAAGGTCATCATCTGAAGCAGCAGACAAATTAATTTTGCTCTCTACAGATTCATGTTTTTCATGCTTTTTCATGACCTCTGGGTGCGATTTCTCTCGACTGGAACTATTGCTGTGGGAAAAGGCTAGAAATGAGGGGAGAAAAATGTATACATTATTTAAAAGCAATTTTTTTTTCAAAATATATGTTACAAATGAAATTTTATTATCTGCCACACTGTTTATTTCACTTTTGATTATGACTTAATACTAAATTTACAGCAGAGTAAGAGATAATGAACTTTGAATTTCAACAAAAGAATGGAGAATAAAAACAATAGAAAAGCATTATAAAATTTATTGGAAAATATTATTAGCCTAAATAAACTTTCTCTTGTAAAACATCATTCCTTGGATAATAAGTCAGATCTGCAAAAGGGCAGTTTATATATATGCTAAAAGATACAAGAAAACCTTAAAAAAGTGGAAGGAGGGTAAAGGTAAAGAATGCAGAAAACAGCACTTCATGCAGAAATTGGAAAAAGCGGGCATGAAATTTTAATTAAAACTTAAAAACCTGACATAAGGACATACTTAAAATAATAATAATAAATAAATAAATAAACAAACTTAGCCTTGCATAATTGAGGACTGGCCAGTCAATTAATCCAAGTTGCAATCAAGCAACATATGCACTACATTGTTATGAGGATCACAAATGCAAAATCCTGCTTAGAACATACTGCTTAGATGAGTAAACCTTTGCATATTCCCCATATCAGGAACATGTTTATGCAACGAAAAGCACAGGCTAAAGCTTACAACAAATAGTGGTTCACAGTAATGCTTTGAACAGTCATACTGTAGTTTGCTTTAGGACCAATTATCACCTTTACAATGAAGAGCAAATCATAGTGAATTTATAATCATGTTAAGCTATCTTGACATTCAGATGGCACAGATAGGTAAATGCATTTTTCAAGATAATAATGCCCACATTCACCTGAGTTATATGCACTGGTATTTACATAAGTGCTTTGGCTGTGACCTGGATCAATAAAAAGATTTGTAGAATATATAAGGAAACATACTAGAGATATATTAGTTATCCATTGTTTTTTCCATTGGAAAGCACTCATTACAAAACAATAACCATCAGAATTGAAATTGGATTAGAACAGTTAAAATGATTAATTATATAAAATCAAAACCATTAAAAAGTCGCCTATTGTATCAATTATGCCAGGCTATGCAGTTTGAATACAAATAAATTTACACATCAGTAGTACAAATATTAGAGAGAACACACTGTTTACAAACCTGAGCCCTGTATAAGTAAGGATGTTTCCTTCCCCCATAAAAAATAAATAAAAATAAAAGTGCTGTTCATTAAAGCATAATGAACCACTGTTGGTACTCCATATGGAAGTTTGACCGTTATCCAGGAGGAAAGTTTTATTTCACATGCTGCTTTAATTAAAAATGAGATATTTCTTGAAGAAGATAACGATTTTGTTCACTTGTTAAATGACAAAGTTTGGTGTGCTAAGCTAGCTTCATCATCTGATATTTTTGCAATTTTTAATAACATACAAGTATAATACAAGTATCCAAGAATCGAAAGAAAATATTTTAACATCAACCAATAAATTGTTAGATTGAAAACGTGAGATTAATGCAGAAGAAGGTAGTTTAGAGAAGTTTAAGCCAGTGTCCATAAGACTGTTACAAAATAATTCATAAAATAGTTATTCATCATTTAACAATACTAGAGCAAAGAATTTTTCATTTCTTTTCCAAATTTAAAAAAAAAAAAAAAAAAAATGCTTGAGCTCAAAATTCCTTTGTGATAAATAACACAGTGTATAGACTAACTTTGAAAGGAAAGAATCATTCAAAAGAATCAATTAACAGGGTTCATAGCCACATTTTAGTTAAAAAAATAAGCACCTATAAGCACTCTTCAAGCACATTTTAAGGGGAGAAAAAAAAATAAATAATAAAAATAAAAAAAATAATAAAAAAATAAAAAAATAATAATAAGCACCTGTCTAATTACATTATACACAACTGCATAACCTTAAAAATTAGATTCGTAATTTAAAATATGAGAAATGCAGTATTTATTAAGAGAGAATACGCATTACCTCAACCATGGAAAATAATTACTTTTTTTTGTTTTTAATTTTAAATAACAGTTCAATTTACAGAACTAGTTTACAATGAGACGGAAAAAACTATGCAGAGCTAAACTATATTACAAGATTTAATGATGAAATTTCAGTTCAAAATAGAGAAAATAAATAATAATATTTATTGTATTCGCTTGGAACCTAACAATAAATACAATTTATTTTTCCACTCATATTGATATTTAAATAATTTAAATCTAAATTCTAAACATTTTCTAAATTTTCATTGTATATCAGTTTTCCCTTAACAGATATTGCAAGCAAAGTAATTTAAGTAAAAAAAGAGGAACATTTCTGAAATCAGAAGACAGAAATTTGCTTCATGCAGTCATCCTTTAACAGTAAAAGCTTAACTAACCGGCATACTTGGAAATTGGCGAATATTCGGACAGTCGAACGTAACTTCTTGAAAAAGAGGAGCGAGGGGGTGGGGGTAGACTGTAGCCGTTCTTTAGACTTTTCCACTAAATAAATGCTTTTGACATTTCGATATGTGCATCATATAAAAATAAACCAACGGAACTGAAAAATATTCTGCTTAGCAAGCATAGCAAAACTCTTTTAAGTGTTCATAAACAAATCTCAGACCAAACATCAAAATTAATTATCTCTGCAAAATATCGCAAACGTTATTGCGCAGTACGTGCGCCGTAATTCTTCCCTACCTGATGTTATGCAATCGGAATCAATAGCTGCCGGTATTGGGAGAATAAAGGAGAATAAAGAAGAATAAAGAATTAAATAAAGGAAAAGAAAGAGACTTACCAATCTGGGGTGTTTTTCATTCTAATTTTCAACAACCTGCGTTAAATTTCCAGAATGGAATCATTCTTTGCTTGGGTTGGTAGACCGCAGAACTTTTAGCCCTATTTAATCCAGATTGTAAAGTGACAAAAAAAAAAAAAAAAAAAAAAAAAAAAAAAAATCCATTGCTTGTTTTGCAGCGAACTGTAACAGTTTCAATATTCGAGATTTTGCAGAGAAAAGAGAACGGGGAGAATCTCCCAACCTTCGTACTGTATAAAGTATTGGCCAAAAAAATTAAATTATTTTGACTATTCGATTACTTCCCCTTTATTTAAACCATTCCAAATATTATTCCTTAGAAAGCTAATTTGTGTTAAAACACAACTATTTTTGGAAGTTACTGCAACTATGTTATTATAAACATTCATACATATAATATAAGCATAACGATCATAATAAACACGAATATGAACTGACCAAGCAGAACAAGAATGCAAATTATTAAGATCTTGATAGAAATTCAAACGTGTGTAGTATTTGGGTGGGAGGAAAAGAATGCTGAATGTACCAGAATTTCCTACTGCTTTCGCAATTCTTTGACCAATAAAACGATGGGCACCTGTCTGTACTCTCTGCACACACCAAAGGTTATGTTAATGCAAAGAAAGGGGGAAAAGCTATTTCCAGGAGTATGATTCACCATTTGACATTCCATATTAGGAGGAAAAGTTGTTTATTTAGTTTTGGTACGGGGAAAAATTGCACGTTCATTTAAAAAAAGCCCTAAAAGCAAAAAATAAGAACTAAAAACAAAAAAATAAGGGCTTTAAAGAAAAAGTAAGCACCTATAAGGGCCTTTACATTTTATTTTCAAATATAAGGACTTATAAGCACTTATAAGGACCGCTACGAACCCTGATTAATTCATTCTGGATTAATCTTAGATACGATTATTCAACAATATCACAAAAAGCTTTCAGTGTGTTATCATAATTTCTCACATCTTATTTGTGCAAATTCAGATTTTCAGCTTTGACCAATATTAGAACGAGAAAAAGGATACACAATTTTAAATCTAAATAAAGAAATAAGATTAGCATTATCTTTTTTACGCTCAAATAGAAATGAAAAAAAAAAAAAAAAAACCACCAACATCAAATTTTGCATTCAATGTAATTTGTAATTTATCATTAAATAAGCATTTCATTTATTTTGTAATTCAATTTTATTTTATATTTCATCAAAAATTATTAACATAAGTTACATATCATATAACATTATCATAGTTATATCATAAGTTTATTTTTACAAAATATGTTATAGGTATATCAACCAACCAAGTAAGTCTTTTTAATTTATCTTATCATTAGGGTGTTGCCAAATTTTTAACTTGTTAAAAGTGCACCATAAAAGAAAAAAAAGTTGAGAATCACTGAACTTTTGTGATCTGCATTGAGCATTTCAGGTAAAATAATAGTATAAAATACTTATAACTACCAGTCGGAATTTGCATACTTCTATTCAACGAAGAATTCAGGCAGTTTTGGATACCAAAGGTACTATTATGTTCTACTAGTTAGACAATTCATTCTTTTTATGTGTCTGCAATAGCATTTTGGACAATCAATATGTATAGAAAAGGAAGCAAATGCACTTCTTCAAAATGTGTTCTTAAATAATTACATCTCTTTAAATTTTGAAAAATTTACAGCAACAGTTTCAATATCTGGTATTCAATAATATCAATTGCTAATAATAATATAATTGTATAATACGAATCGCTGAAATAAATAAATAAATAAAATTATTTATTAATCATTACAATGTTCAGTAAATGTTTCATTTCAAAAAAGCAATTATGATTAGAAACTTTAACTAACAGCTAAAACAGCTCAATAAAGACACTAAATTTTCACTTTAAACAGATTACCTTACCTCAATGGTCTGAAACTTGCAGTATGCGAACACATTTCAGTAATGTATTTGTTGTAAATAAAGTAATACACCAGAAAATTTAGAAACAGAGCTAATTAACTTAGTGTAAAATAAATCTTGTTCAAAGATTTGAAGATACAGATTCGATTAATTTTTATTCATACCTGTCAAAAGATAAATATGCTCAATTACAAATTTTTCTACTAAGAAGAATTGCTTTGTTCGGGAATATATCTATATGTGAACATTTTTTTCTTACAATTGAAAATTAATAGAGGAAAAAACCCAATTGATGGATGAGCATCTACATTCTGTAATGAAGATAATTTCTAGTAATTTTTTCCCAAGGCTACAAACTTTACCAGAACCAAAAAATCATCAAGCTGTAGTAAGAAATTAACAAGTATATGGTTATTTCCAAACAAATACATTTTTTATTTATGTTCCAAAGAAAGATTTGTGAATAAGAGAAAGAGATGACATTGTTATTATTTATTCTCAAATTTTGTCCCACTTGGAAGATTTTCTCTGAAAACTTAAAATGCTTTCATTATTTATGTTTAGTGTAACATAAAGTAAGTTAATGATAAATTAACACATTAAAATTATTTGAAATAAATGTCATTCTAAAAATTCGCTGTCAATTACTGGAATTACAAAACGTAACAGACAAAAATTTCTTGCCGATACCAACCTTTAGATTTCATATATAAATATTATAATTTTTTTTCCTTTATGCCATTATTATTTATGTATATTTTGATAAATTTGTAAGGATTTAAATTTAGTTGAAACATCTGTTATTTTGTTGATAAAAATTTTTCATAAAAAAAAAAAAAAAAAGAGCTCTCTGTTTTTAGTTTTAGGATTCAACATATGTTCAGTTTGAGTCTAAAATCACTGCCTTATCTACTGTATACAAAAGAATGCACTCTTCATTTTAAAATCTGCATTTGAACAAAATGAATGAAGATTTTAAGCTAACCATTCAAGTCAGCAAAATGAAACCAATGACTTAGATTAATATATTATCATTACTGAAAGGATGTTACTCTTTTATATGTGACTGTTTGAAGAAAGAAGTTAGTTTATCAGCATAGATGACAAATTGAAAATATACTGCAAATTAATTCACTGAACGAAGAGATAGTATGCCTTCTAACTTATTTATGTAGTATATGTTAATAACTCATGTGTTTAATTTACATATGATTTATTCAAATAAATTTCTGGAGCTCTTAAAAACATACAGATGATTTTATGCAAAACGTTTCTTCATGTTTCTAAATACGAAATATAATAAAAATGCTAAAAATATGATAAAAAGACAAATTTACATTTGTTGGCCAAGGCTTTGCTCTGTTGATCTGTGCCTCTCAGAACACATTTCACAACAGGCTGTGGATTTTGTGGAGCAGGAGCAGGTTTTTTTTGAACTACTTTTACAGACTTCCTAACTGTTGATGGTGCAGATATAATACCTGCAGGAATGGATCTTTTAGGTGCAGATTCAACCTTAGCAGTAGATGCTAAAAGAAAACAAGGAAAAGATACATTCAAGGAAAAGTCCACACCATCCATTCTTACAAAACATTAACCCTCCAAGCAGCCAAGGGCATGTGGTCAGTGATATTTCCTTGATTATAATTCCAAAATGAACCCTCTCTTTGGTACCTTGTTTCCTTTTTTCCAATATATATATTATTTTAAGCTGGATATCTGCATTTGTAAAGATTTTACGACAAATATTTTCAAACATATGCATGGTTCAGCTGCTTGGAAGGTTAACATCTAATAGCAACACGCAAAGTCTTTCACATGGGTGAGCACTAGCCTTCTACCATATTTATAATTATTTTTATACAATGGAATGAATGCCTTAATATTTCTTGTATTTAAATTAATCATGAAAGTGATACTATATGCATAAAAAAGAAATAAATGCCAATCCAAAGGTCTCCATTAAAATAAAATTTTGTTCTAAGACTTTTACACAGTTATTGTATGCCAAAATTAAAGTATGTGATATGCTTTTTTCATATCAGAATTCTTGTTGAGCTAATTTTGCACCTCTCACATTTTAAGAGCTTTATGATATAAAAACAGACATGGATTGTTTAATATTTAAAATAAATAAGAAAAACATGTTAAAATATATATTTTTTATTAACCCCTTACCAATGTCACCTGAATCCAGTTCAGGCAACTCAATTGAGCCAAACTGGGAATTTATGTAAAACCTAACATGAATGTTTTCCTTTATCGAATGCTTAATGAAATCCAATTGCACATTTATTTGAAAGATGGGTGGGATTAGCTGTAAATACTGTTTTCCTGAAATATACTCCAATAGGTAAGCGGTTAAGGCATAAATTAAACAAAGTGCACTTAAATAATGAGATACTAATAGAGATTAATATTAAAGCATTAAGAACTACATACCAGATCTTTAAAGGAATGCATTGGATTTTATTATTATTATTCTTTAGGCAATGCATGCAAGGGCTACTTGCCTATGAGAAGGGATGTATTCATGAAGGGTTTTCTCTGGAAAAAATACATGAGGAAAACCATAAAAACTTTCTGCAGTCAGGCCATTCAGAATCTGGAAATGAAATCTAAGATGAATCATCAGTGTTCTGTGGCTTTTAATTATAGTTGGCCCTTTGAAAGTGAGATACAGGAGAAAAAGACTACTTTTCACAAATCTAAAAATCCCTAATTCCTTAAATCTTTCTCCACAGGGATGCTACCATTTTATTGATTTATTATTGAACATTTTAGTTGCAGTACTATTGCACAGGGTGTGAGTAGTTTTCCAAAGTTCTTAGAAGAGACATGTCACCATTTTTATGCTATTTATTTTTAAAAGATTTTAGTTGTAATAATATTGAGCAGAATTCTAATTTACTTATTTTTTAATCTTACGTAGCTGTGGATAGATGATTAAAAAAAAAAAAAGTTGAATCAAAAACCAAAAAAGCAGCAACAGACTGTTACTGCTTTATATTTGGCAAGAATATCCTAAATATCACTATACACATGGAGTGACAAGGAATTTCATTTGTCACAATTTTTTCACTGGAGGTTTAGGTTTTCTCTGAGTGAGTTTTTTTCATTGAAAATAATTTGTGACACAAATCTAGATTAACTACATTTCATAAAGGTATACTTTTCCATTTTACAAAATAATATCCAGATCTGTGATTAGATTTCTACTGTATGCTGCTCTTGATGAAATGCAAAGGCAATTCTTTAATGTGCTTATCTTTTGAACTTTAATAATGCAACAGTAACTCAATACAAAAATATTGCAATTGAATTTTTTTAACCAAAATTCCGCAAAAAAATTACATCTTAGTGAAAATAATCACAAGTAAAATAACAAAAATAAATTTACCTGGTGCATCTTTTTTCACAATTATTGTCTTCTGTATTATTTTAGTAGGAACTGAATTTGTAGACTGTTTGGAAGTAGAATTAGAAGCTTTTACTGTCTTTGGCACTATCTTTTTCACAATCCTTACTGGAGCCTATTTTTTGTGTATGTAAAAAACAATGTAATTCTTATTATTTTTACATAAAACACATTCACACATAATTTTAAAAAATGAATTATTGTAGCAAACCAAGTTTCAGATAACAGTTATATACCAACCTTACTGCTTGGCACATTTGAAGTTTCATTCTTTTGACTTGGTTTTATTACCACTTGCCTCATGGAACTTCCATTTGCATTACTTTTAACTGTAGCCTTTTTTTCTCCTGAAACTGATGGTTTGGCTCCTTTTGCTTGTGCTTTCACAACTTTCTTCACTTTAGTCGTACTTTTTTCAGATGTTTTGACTGGAACCTTTGCTTGGGGGCTCACTTGAGGCTTAGCAGCTAATTTAAAAGATGAATTTAAGATTATGAATTGCTTTTGCATATGCCCAATTTGCTTAATAATTATTTGTAACTTATATTAATAAATAATATTTAGTAAATAATATTTTTTGCATAGGTATTCGAAATCTCGACAAAACCATTTTTAACCGTGTTCAAACTCATGACAATCATGAGACAAAAGTACTTTTAAAGCACTGAGCTCTAATTTTCTTAGCGTGTCATTTAAGAAAACTCACACTTAAAAAAATGTGATACATATCCATAATTTCTATAACTTGAAAGACACTTATTTTTTTATTACCTAAACAAGCTGTTATCACCATAACCATAATAATATGGTTTAAAATTTGTTTCTTCAAATCTCATCAGATAAGAAACTCTGAAAGCAGATATAAGTATACTATATAGTGTTTTTAAATAGTCTGCAAAATACATATGAAGCTCTTGCTAATCAATCATAAATCCATTAGAGTGAATATCAATACTTTCATTAGCAGAGTAAAAATATTGTGTGAAAAAAATTCAATAAATTGACCTTTAAGCCACATATTTTCTCAATTCTATTTTGCATAGCTCCTATACTATTATCATTCACAATCAGGCAAACTTCAAACTTATACTTCCATTTATTTTACAAAATTTCACTATATATTTTTAATGAAAATTGTCCCGGGTGACGTCAGTGATGATTTTCCTACGTGCAGAGTTTCATTCAACCTTGGAATCTGGCAACATCCAAAAAAATTGTAAAATGATATGTTTATGTTTAGAACAGTTGTATATATAATAATGAAATAAAATGCATATACAAACCCAATATTTTGGTGTCAAAATTTGATAGATGCAGGATTTTGAGCATTTACACTCCTGTTATCTTTAGTTAGAAGCAAGTGTTCAATTAATTGTTAATAATAAGCAACTTCAATTATATTGTTTAGAATTTTGTTTCCGCACTCTGAATTTGTCAACTGTGCATTTGAAATGTTGTTTGAAGACGGTGCTATGGATGATAAAACAGGAAGACCATTAGAACAAATATTTCTCACCTTATTTTGAAATGGACGGATGCTAATTAATGATAGTTCCAAAGATGTGAATAATGATGATTTAGAATAATTTGTGATCAACTAGTGGATTTGTTGAGTGAAATGAAAATGGATTTTTTTTTAACTTCAACATAATACATATTATGTGTTTTGGCTATGTTATAGCCAATTCAACTTTTACAAAGCAGCAATCAAATGTGATGGAACTCAAGCTCTCTTGCAATTGACCTTATCTGAGGAAGATAGAGATAGCTCAATTTTTCTGGCTGAGAACAACAAACCCATTGTTGGCAAAAAAACTCTTAATGAAAAAATTCTTTCTTATAGATTTTCACAACAACTGTTTGGATTTAACTTCAAGACCCTTTTTTGCAGGCTGATACTCTATGCAAATTGGTTTTTCTGGGCCTTGGACACTTACCCTATAGCAACAAAACAGCTTGAAAAGACCACCTTTTTGGGAAAACTTTATAATGGAAGTGGATTTTGGGATGAGACCACGACTATTCATAGCAAAACGCATAGTTTAATGTCTCATAGTGATTTGCTATTAGCAAAGCAAACCATAAATTAATGAACACTCAAAACAAAATGATGTTGATGATAACTTCAAAATTGTAACAAATTTTAGGTATTAATTGGAATACCAAAGAATATGCATTTCATGAAGACATTCAAAGATTTGATTTCATTATGACTTGACAGAAAGGCCCACAAGAAAACATTTACTTTTGAGAATAATATTCATATTTTACAAACAGCTCTGCCTCAGCAGCGATTGTCTTTGTACACAATATGCAACTTGAAAACAGAATGCATTATGCTATTCACATATTCAATTACTCAAGCTCTGCATTTGGAGCTTGTTTCAGAAATGACTACTTATATGTTCAATACTGCATTTAAGAGATTTATTAGTCGGCGTGAACTATCCCTCATACCATCTATACTGACAATGCCTCCATTATCCATGCTACAAACAAAGAATTGGCCTTGCTCTGGAATAACGTAATGGCTAACACAGTCCAAAATTCTTATGTCACAAATGACATTGATTGGAAATTTATTGTGCCAAGGATAGTTTGGTGGGGAGGATGGTGCGAGTGTTTAAATAAGATTAACTAAATGATGTCTTCGAAAATTGCTTAGTCGTTTAACACTGGATGCAGAAGCTGATCTGAATAACAGACCATTAGTGTACGAGTGAGTAAATGATGATTCTGAAGAAGCCTTGACTACAGGTCATTTTCTGCTTGATCACAAGCTAACAATGTTGCTATCGAAACCTAAATCTGAAACTTATACAAAATTACAGGAGCAAGATCTGTTCAATACATTTCGAAAGAGAGCAATATCCACACAAAAGTTCAAATTTGAAAAGGAGATCTCGTACTTCTACTGGACATAAGGCTTCAGATTATGTGCAAAAAGGTCCTTGTTGAAAGGGTAATCAAAGGCCGCAATGGAAAATGCAGATCATGCGCACTGCATGTTGATCACAAAGAAGCGATTCAACGAATGCAGCTGGTCACACCTCTTGTGGTTGACCAGGGTGGTCCCAGCCTCTCAATAGACAGTGCTGCTTGTGACTACAGTCACGAAATTTTTTAAGTATACATTTTTTTACAATCTTGGAATCTCATGTTCTCAATCTTGGACACTCATGTTCACTATAATGTTCAACTTTAATAATCTTGCACAGGAACACAATTTTTCTAAATAAGAAAGGCTATTTTCTCATTATCCACACCCCCTCGAAAAGTTATGAAGTTTCCATGCCGCAAAACAGTGCAGTTATGTGGCACCCCAAGACGTCACCTACAAAGTACTTGTGTGACAACCCAGGTATGCATATATCACATGCTTGTTTTGATTGATGCAAAACACTGATATTGTGCAATGCCAGGTTTGTATAATTCTCTGATTATTTTTAATGCGAAAACAGATTACTGCGTACATGGGGGAAGAAATAAGGGGAAAAAATTTTAACTTAGCTTTTCACTACAGATAAATATTTGATCTTTTGATTTTATTGATTGATTGTTCTGTGTGATTGTTCTAGTATGGAACTCTTAATAGGCTGCCACTTGAAAATGGTCATTGCCTTTTGCGCATTAGCTTGGTAAAAAAAATCAGTTGGCAACAAATCTTTTTTTTTTCCTTGTGACCAGTTCCAAAATGCATGGTTATCTTAACAAATGCTTTCTTAAATGCATTCACTTGTTAGATGTCAAAATATTTGATATTATCAATGAAGTTAATTTTACCATTTCCAAGTTTCTCTGTTTAGATACTTTTAAGATTATATTTTAACTCAACAAGAATTATTTATTCACATGAGTTGCAAATGATTATTTTTAAACAGTAATCCAGACAGCTAAAAAGACTGAAAAAATATGAACCTGGCATATTTACATAAGACATTAGTAAATATAAATTACAATGCAAGAAAATGATAAGACACTGTTCTGTTATCGGAACAGGATTCAGACATGTATGAACGTGTGTTTGCATGTAAGGGCATATACATGTAAAGACACTGTTCTGTTATCGGAACAGGATTCAGACATGTATGAACGTGTGTTTGCATGTAAGGGCATATACATGCATACTATACATATACACACACATACAGGATATACATCAGGGTTCATACAAGTTTCCGCACATGGAAATTAAGTACTTTTAAGGACCATTAATGAAAAAAATTAAGGACCTATGAACAAATGAGAACTGAATAAATTCAATTACAAATATTATAGCTATGCCTGAACTTCACTTTTTAATATCATCCTAAAAATCAATCCCTCCATAAATAGGGTGCATTATTATTAAACATAGCTTAATTATCCCTTTGCGGCACAGTGTATCCGGTCTGGACACACCTAAAAATTTCCTTCTGTAGGCACAGAAAATTGAATGAAAAATTTATAGGTTACTTGAACCTTCTTTATTTATAGTAGTGGCAGCTCACCACAAATCAGTCCATATTTAGCATGTTAGTTTTATGATCCTCATTTTTCAAAGAAATCTTTCATATTTTAGATTACAAAAGGAATTGTTGAAAAGAAAATTTCTATGTTATTTTTTTGGCTGTATGCTATCTCCTTATTTATATTAGTTTTAAATTTTACTTGAAATATTGCTAAAACGGGCTCACCAATAATAGGAAACTGAAGTCTGAAATTCTTGTTTTCCACATCTCATCGGTCAATTCACTGACAACAATGCTCGTTTCAGCACTCTTTTTGAAGCTTTATTCAATCAGTGTGCCACTTTGGGCACACCCACACAGAATTAACAGAATTAAAATTATAAGTGCTATCTTCACAAAATTTTACTTGTGTACTCCTCTAGGCCTAATTACACTGCCTATTTTTTTTTTTTTTAAATCCGAACTCCGAATTTAAAAGGTAGCCTGCCGGAAAGGGTTAATATAAATATTAATACATTTGAGAATAAAATACATATTATGAAATTTATCAAGTAGCATTAAATATTTTACACTTATAATAACTGGACATATTTGATGATATTTTTATTTATTTATTTTTTATTGTCACATACTTGCTCAGTCTAGAGGTTTAGTAAATAGTAAGTAGATTTTATGTCAAGCAGCAAAGGTTAAAATGAGCATTAAAATCATAATCAGCGTGATTCATAACAAAAAAACTGGCTGTTGTGACTGCTCTTGCTTACCTAGAGAGACCTGCTGATCAGAACAAACCTGAAAGGCCTGATGTAAATACAATCCACTAAAGCACTAGAGGTGATAAGTTGTTTTGCATTATTTTAAGTTTCACTAGATGCAAAGAATAAGTTTTACAAGAATTTTTTATTTTTGTGTTTTGCCTTGTGACTACTGTAAAGGTTAATGAAAGGCAATAACTCAATTTAATATGCAAAGATACTTTTTAAGGTAAGCACTTAGTTATATAATTAAATTAGGTA